TCTGATCAAGTTTGAACTAAAAATATTTAAAGAAATATTAGAACTTCCTGACCTTCAATCTTCAACAAATAAATTTCATGAAACTTGACTTCCAGTAAGAATCGGACCAAAGTGGCAGATATCAAAGTGAACAAAGGCTCTAGTTTTGCAATTAGACATTTTGGTCCTTATTCTCATTTGGTCTCTTACTAAGATATTCCCAGAAAAGCATTTAAAAATCTCTGCCGCAGTTTTCTCATCTAAAAAAATAGTATAATATCAGCTCTTACATAGGATTGTTGTAAGAATTAAGTGTGATAATACATCGAGAACCTACCAGAGGACTTAGCTGCTGGGGTAAAACATAGTAAGTAATAAATGTTAGTTATAAAATGGTATGATTAGTTGAGATTTCAAAATTGTATTTTCTGTGAAAGAAATATTCTATGATTTCAAGTATAGCTGTTTTCCATTTTTGACTGAAACAGGTGTATATGATTTTCATTATTGTTTTTAGCTTACATATAAAATAAAGCCTCTAAACCAAGCTAGTTCTTGAATAGACAGTCACTCTGCCTTCATAAAGAGAGAGAGAGAGAGAGAGAGAGAGAGAGAGAGAGAGAGAGAGGTTAATCCCAGGAAGTAATTCTAGACTACTTTTTTTAAACTCAGTTTTGTTCCTAATTTACTATACACAGGTTCTAAAACTTAATATTTTATAACTAGAGTAATCGTCACATCTGCATAGAATTATATATATTTCACATTTCAGAGTATTTTGACTATATGGGACAATACCTCTCTATCGGAATTCCTTCTAGATTGTAAGCTTTAAAAAATGAAGGAATCATACATAAAACTAATAATTTGGATTTTAAAAGAAACAATAAAAGGCCCCCCAAATCTAGGGATTAGTAAATTGTCAACAACCCTAACAAAATACCTGTATAACTGCTGCAAAACTGTCCTTCACTTCTGGAACATAATTTTCAGGGTGGCATAAATTTTTCTTGACAATGCTGTATTTCATTTAATTGTAGGAATTATGTACTAAGTTGCTATATGCCTTACTTCCTGAAATTTGTAGATGAGCAAGCTGGTGAGAAGTTTGTGGGCTGAACATTTTTTTTTTTAATGTTGCCTGAATGGACTCTTTTCCTGAAATATATTGTACAAGTCTTAACAGAACCAAGTGATCTAAATGAGTTAGGATCCCTCCCCAAACCCTTAAATTAATATCAGGAAGCAATTTAGACACTGAAGAGAATTGAACTCAATGTGTTAGTGAGATGAATAATTGAAGCTCTTGAAGTGGGTGATAGATCTTACTAAGTGATTACTTTCTTATAAATTCCTAAACAAGAAGTCTTCATGGAGATATGGTTAGGATAGCTGCCATTTGTCACTTGGCCTCCGCATGCTTAATCACCTGCATTTTCAGGCTGCTAAAGGCATATTTGGTGTATTGTAGCAGCCAAAAATGGTTGATACATCTGTTGAATACCCAATCTAAATCCCCTGGGAGAACAACATAAGCACTGGGAAGGAATCTGCCTTATTGTGTCTTTCTGAGCCCATAAACCACTATTGTCCCCATAAATTTCAGTAAAAGTGAATACATCAGTAGGGAAAAAAAATAGGTATTTTTGCTATTTTAATGCTCTTTTAAATTTACATTGGAATTATTGGAATTATTTTCAAAATTAAACTTTTACATCTGATTTATTTTAACTGAAGTTGCAATAACCCAGTTTAGATTACCTTGATTGGTCACACAGTGCATTTAACTGCTTACAATAAAGGGATGATATAAAAGAATCTAAAAGGAGAGTTTAACTTGCTCTACCCAGACTAGTATCATAAGCTTTTCTATTTCTATATGAGTAATATATGCTTTTATATATGTGGGGTGTTCTAATTTACCCTGAACAAGAGGCAGTCTAAAGTGGTAGCTAGGGGCGCCTGGGTGGCGCAGTCGGTTAAGCTCCGACTTCAGCCAGGTCACGATCTCGCGGTCCGTGAGTTCGAGCCCCGCGTCAGGCTCTGGGCTGATGGCTCGGAGCCTGGAGCCTGTTTCCGATTCTGTGTCTCCCTCTCTCTCTGCCCCTCCCCCGTTCATGCTCTGTCTCTCTCTGTCCCAAAAATAAATAAACGTTGAAAAAAAAAAAATAAAAATAAAAAAATAAAGTGGTAGCTAAAAAGACGGGCTGTGGAGACACACATCTGGGCAGATGCTGGCCCCTGGGATCAGTTGTTGAACCTCTCTAAGCCCCGCTTTACTCATCTATAAAATGGACAGAGTAATGGTACCAAGCACACAGGGACATTCTGAGGATTCAGTGACATAATAGGTGCCAGGAGCTTTTGTGTAGTGACATGCACATACTATTCATTACATACATTTGTCTATTACTCAATCTTCTCATCTGTTGACCTGCTCACACTATGTGCTTTTTTGCTCATTCCAGCACCTACGCAACCATCTTGTAAGCACTGAGTGTCGATTGGGCTTCTTTAAGCCTTTTGACTACATTAGTTGTCAGTCCAGAGCCAGCTCAGTGATGCTGGCTGAGCAGTATAAAACATGAGATTTAGAAAAAGGAGGTCTTTTTATGTTCATGAAATATGAAATGCTAGATATTTTCTTAAGGTGTATGGGCATTTGGGGGGGGGGGGCATGTTATAATAAAGACAAGCAGCAGATGAGAAGAATTTATAATAGCTAAATTCCATGTATTCTTAATTCTGCTTGATAATTTGTCTTTGGTAAGTATGTAATTTTTTTTTCACAGTAGTTATTCCCAGCTGCATATGTGTGCTGCAGAAAGAAAGAGCATATGGAATATATACTGTGTATATATACATATAGAGATATTCTGGCACTGGGCATGTGGATTCACAAGCATATACATGCACACACTCACATCATCAGTCTATGTATGTCTATATGTAGAGAGAGACAAATATATGTATAGATATATATCCTTCTGCTCTTTTCATTGTGTTACGCATATCAGAGGCAGGAAGAGTTCTGTTCTCCTCCCTGTTCCCCACCCCCCACAAGCTGGAGGGCCAGAAGGTGGGGCGGTACCTCAGGATAATGGCAGCAGAAGGCAAAGGGAGCAGACAGCTGGCAAGCTCTGCCCCAATATGCTTCCCTGAAAGAGGCGAGGAAATTTCAGAAGATGCAATGCCTGAATGGCTCACTTTGCAGAAAAACAGAAGCAGCAAGGTAAAATTCCTTGGAATGCTCTTCATTTCAATGGGTCTAGAATTGACCGTCTTCTTTTCACCACTTGGTAAACTTCCCCAAGGCTTGAGTTTATAAATACTTCATCTTGGAAAATATTCTGGAAAGAAATGTCAACTTTTTTTTTCTTTTTACTCATGAGAGCTATTCTCTTAAGCTTAAAAAGGCTGCCAATGCCAGGTGTCTTCCTGGAATATTCTAGAACAAAAATGTACAGCTAAATCTCTACCCTGGGAGCATAAGAAATTCTGGATAGCAGATCCCCTTTCATAAACACTGCAACGTACCTATTTTGAATGAAACATTTTAAAAGCTAATTATATATGCCTCCTTGCCATCTTAAGCAGATTATTCTAATTTCACACTTTCTTGATGATTCAGGGTCATCATTATGAACAATAATTTTTATTAGTAAAGCATAGTGCTCTTAGGGGCCAGTGAGATTTGTAGGATTATTGCCCTGTTATTAAAGTTTTTCTTCTTTTTGCTCTGGGCCATTATTTCTCTCAAGGTCTATTTTGTAACTTTTAAATCAGTTGTCCGCTTGAATTATGTAGGCTAGTTTGTTAGGATATTGTAAAAATAGGAAATAATCTCCAAGTGAAGGCTCAAGGCTTTCCTTCCTATAAAGGCCTTGAAATGTACATGATAAAAGCTTTTTGTGCTTGCTTCCTAAATTACAAGAGGTAAAGCAGATTATAGACAGAATTCTGGGTAGATAAGGAATTTCTGTCTTTCTTGAATATAACAATTCATATAGCATTTTGTAATGTTTGATTTTGTCCAGAAATCTTAACCTTATCTTCACAATTAAATTGTAAGCTTTTTGGAGCAAAGACCACATCGTATATCATTTCCCTCATTCTTTATTATACTATATATGGTACTCTACACATAAACTAGACGCTCCCTTATACATTGATTCCAGGGAATTTAAAAAAGTATACTGGTCAATTATTATCACAGTTACAGAGGTATTGGATGGGGCTATCAAGGTAACAAATTAATTTCAGCAACTGTCAAAAGCACAGAGAGACAGACCGCTGTACAGTTGAACCTTGAACAATGCAGGGTTTAGGGGTGTTAACCCCTCACACAGTTGAAAATTTGTGTCTAACTTAACTTAGACACACTTAACTACCACTAGCCTAATGGTGACTGGAAGCCTTGCTTCCTATGCTGGTAACATATGCAGTCTATTTTTTTTTTTAATAAAGTTTATTTCTGGGAGAGTGAAAGAGAGAGAGAGCACACATGTGTGTGCTGGGGAGGAGCAGAGACAAAGGGAGAGAGAATCCCAAGAGGCTCCATGCTGTCAGCACAGAGCCTGATGTGGGACTCAAACTCACAAACCATGAGATCATGACCTGAGCGGAAATCAAGAGTTGGGTGCTTAACTGACTGAGCCACCCAGGTGCCCCAACATATGCAGTACATTAACACATATTTTGTATGTTATATGTATTCTATACTGTATTCTTTAAAAAAAATTTTTTTTAAATGTTTTATTTGTTTTGTGAGAGCGAGAGACAGAGTGTGAGTGGGGAAGGGGCAGAGAGAGAGGGAGACACAGGATCTGAAACAGGCTCCAGGCTCTGAGCTGTCAGCACAGAGCCCGATGCGGGGCTCGAACCCACGAACCGTGAAATCGTGACCTGAGCCGAAGACTGACGCTCAACTGATGAGCCACCCAGGCGCCCCAATATACTGCATTCTTAAGGTAAGCTAAAGAAAAAATATTGTTAGGAAAATCATAAGGAAGAGAAAATGCATTTATCTGTACTGTATTTATTGGAAAAAACAAAACAAAACACATGCAAGTCAACCCACAGTTCAAACCCATGTTGTTAAAGGGTCCACTATATCTGTGGGACCGATAGGAGTATGAATGAAGTTAGAGCTTTGGAGCTCAGTTATTCAGTGCTGAAAATATTCACAGGCTGGCTATGGGTCAGAGATGTAGATGGTAAAAGTGATTGGTAGATGTGATTTGTGGTAGATTTAGCTTTCTTTTGGATACTAATGATCCATGCTAATCTGGTGATTTGGAGCTGTAATTTGATCTGACTTCCATTTTGAAATTATTTATAAATTCAGATTTGCAAAAGCCCTTTTTTCCTAAAATTAATATTTGAAGTTTCATTGTATGCATATTATGATAAGGAAAGCAAGGTTTGGGATTAGATTTTTATATGTTTTATTTTATGTACCACAGCTTCATAAAGTGAAAAATCATAGTTAAACTCTGATTTAGTTGAATGTTTTCAACATAGTTGAATATTTTATAGCTTACATGCTAAGATATCATATGGAAGATGGGGGCATTTATTTGCTTATCTTTCCAAACAAGATCCAGCTGTTTATTTTCTATGTTGTGTTGGTTTTAAATTAGGTAAGAGTCAGTGTGTATAACTCCTTTTATCCCTCATTTCTGTACTTGTTAGTTTTGATGTGCTTGTGGTAACTCCATCCAGTTCCAATTGCTTGTCTTCACAGGCAGTATTCCTTGGGAAAAAAGTAGCTTCTCACCATTCCTTACAATTGTTTTCCTCCTTTGAAGGTATTTTCACATTCATTCTTCTCTCGGTGCCTCTCCTTGGTTGTGAGAAGGAAGAGAGTACTGTTTTTCATCCACCTCTACCTCATTTAATATTCTCCTAACAAGACACTTCGGCACTCAAACCAGAAAATGTAAATTTTATAGCAAGCTTTAAGGACTGATATACAGATAGGTGTAAGCCTGGCTTGAGCTCATAACTAGGTACATCATACAGTTTATTGTATCATCTCTAAGTTAAAGGCAGTATCAGTTGAGATGCTTTTGTCCTCCAAGCTTAAAAGAAAGCTCCAATTACACCTGCTTAGAAAATGATGGCATAGATAATCTCACATGAGATGATGTAGTATACGAGTGGCTCAGAGGTGTTATGGACTCCTACTGTCTTGTTTGTCTTTGCCTCCCTCAGCCTCAGCTTCATCCTGTATCTGGTCACTCCTGATTCCAAGATGACTTGCTTTAGCCATTGAAGCTTCTCTGTTGCATTCTTCTCTGTTCCATGCTTCTCTGTTCACAAACAATAGAACATTCGAAATGTGCTTCTCAAAGGATGGAATCTATATTCTTCTCTTTAGTCTGTTTAGGCCAGTGTAAGTCACATGCCTATCTTTTGACTAATAATAGCATCAGGCAAAGGCTGAGCTCTTCTCCATGTAGATGCATCAGAATGCTCCCTTTAGAGTAGGAGAAGGAACAGAAAACATGCAAAATCAAGTTCTTTTAGGAGGGAGAAATGGGAGAACATAGGGGTAGATATTGGCAACACTGTCTACCACAACATACATATTGATGGCATCATTTTAGAAACAGAGCTGTTGATGTTTCTGCTTATTCATTGTGTGCCCAGCTCTGCAAAACATGCAGTTAGGCCCTTAATAAATAGTGTTGTGCTGGAGCTGGCTTGTATTGGCTTGTGAGTTGATTGTTGTATTGTATTGTATTGTTGATTGTATTGTGAGTTGATTGTTACATTTTCAGAAATCTTGCAATCTGATTGATAAATCATCAGTAGCTTTAAATTAACCATGATTATTTATAACTATGGGATTATTTATAATAACAGTCCCTGTTTCATAGGATTATTGAGTCAGGGTTAAATGAATCCATACATGGAAATTAGACTGATACCTGGCAAAGAACAAGTTTCATACACCATAGCTATTAGTATCCTTTAAAAAAATACATTTTAAGAAAATGAAATCACAGACTCTGATAAACAATAAGTATTATCCATTCATAGTCATCAAAGGGAAATATACATTAATCACATGTTCTTAATACTCTGCTTTACTAGTACTATATATTTGTTTATACACACAAAACACCTATTAACTCGATTATTTTCGCTTTTTAAACTATTCCAAATCCTCTGAGGAGCAAGGTAAGAGATAAATGCACAAATAATTGTACATTACAGAAAAGTTGGGAAATATGAATCAGAATAATAAAGGGAAAAATCATCCAGAATGTTATTATCTAGAATAGTCATTAATACTCTTTTGGTTTATTTATTTCCACTATTTTTCCTGAATATTTTATATATTTGCAATCATTGTGTATCTCCTTTATTCATTTAATTTTACATTATAAGCATGTGACCTAGAATTTTTCCTATATTTCTTTAAGAAGTTAGTGAATTTTGAAAGTCTTTTTTTGGGGGGGGGTATAGTTTATTTTGTAATTAATTGTATCAATTAGCAAAACTTCTATTAGGTAAATTTATCAAATAACTGAAGTGGCATTGTACATTCCTGATATCTGTGTAGAAGGATTCAGTGACTTTTTTGATGCCTCAAGCTGAAGTTCTTTAAATATATCTTAGAAAATAAATATGAGAAGCACTTGGGTGGCCCAGTTGGTTGAGCATCCAACTTCAACTTAGGTCATGATCTCACAGTTTGTGAGTTCAAGCCCCACATTGGACTCACTGCTGTCAGCCTAGAGCCTTCTTCAGATCCTCTGTCCCCCTCTCTCTCTGCCCCTCTTCCACTCATGCTCTCTCCCTCTCTCTCTCTCAAAAATAAACATTTTTTAAAATAGAAAATAAATATGATATTTTCTAGCTTTATCCTCTTAAATGACATTACCAATCATTGAAAGCATACTATTATTAATTGAAAGCAAAACAGAAGAAAATCTGTGTCTATTATTATTAGTTTTTGATACCTTCTTGTGTTTCTTACTAGACTTTAACTTCATATGTTTCCTATTCACCTGAGGCTTGGTGGATGGCTGCTGAAATTGAGAATATGCCCATGCCAGTATCAGTGGACCAAAATGGCTTCACAACAAGGCTTCTATTAACATGTATTCTGTTTTCCCTGCAAATTTGTGGGTTTTTTTCCTCTAAACATATGCATATCTGAAATTCAAATTGAGTACTCCTTACCTCTTGCTCTCCTCCGTACCTCTAATGAGGTGGAAAAATGTACATTAATGATGGAAAGTTATTTAGTGCTGAACAGAGTTAATTGCTTCTAATCACTGCTTACATCCATCTGGTTTTATGGTAGACAACAAACCTCTTCATTGGGCTTGCACATTAGACATATTGTAAATTACAGAGATGCACTGGCATCTTGCATATTGTGCTTCTATTAGTGAGGCTGCATTTTCATATAGCCCCAATGGCAGGCATTGGGATGCAGATCAACTTGTCCACGTTCTGTTAGAACTGCAGGGAGCCCTGGTGAACTGGCCTCCCCAGGCTCACTTGGAAAGCAGTGGAAAGCTACTGCCTATCAAACTCTGGATGAAAAGCTGTGGAAGAGTGCCAGAGATTGGATAGCATGGTGTCTTTGCCATAAAATTGGAGTTGAAGTGGTAATATTGGTGATTGTCTAATTTTTTTTCCCAAAAGCATGGGGTTAAAGCTTTCTTCGGCTATCATTTGGCAGGGTAAACAGGGAATGTATTGTATAAACAAAGAATCAAGGTTTAAAGCTGAGCTGGATACAATCTTTTATCTTGTGTCTAACACTAATAACTTCTTAAAGCTTGAAGATTTACTGTATTGTATCAGAACTTTAAGATCATCAAAAGAAACCCATAAGCACAAGAATTATGATAAGGAATAGCTTTATTATAGCATAATTATATTTAAGCTAGAAATAATTTAGGATGTTATTAACACAATGATGCCATTGGTTAATATCTATTGATACTAAGAGATTTAGGAAATTAATATGGAAAATATGACCCAACAATCTAGGAAATTTGATAGGATATTATAATTACCCTAATGTCCTACGTTGTAGGTGATTTTATCAGTTAAATGATAAATAGTGCCTAAATCTTAAAAAAGAAAAGGAAGTAAGGAAAAATAGGAAAGGAACACAGGATATTTGTAAGAATCTGATACCACTTTTACTTTCTTTGTACCTGCCTCATTCCTTCTGGTTAAGGGTGAATGACTCCAGAGAGAGGTAACTAAGTCATAAAAGGTACAAAATTTGAAGATGAATAGTAATTTAGGTATTATCTGGTAATATATAGTGTCCTCAGTTTATAAATGACAAAACTGAGGCCCAGAAAGATTAAATGACTTGTCAAAGACAGGTCAAAAAGTCACTTTCATGGCAGCATAAGAGTCAGAGATCAGATCATAGTCATCTATTAATTTGTGATTCATATTACCAATGACACGCAAACAAACACCATGTGCTTCCTACCTCCACATTCCCTATTTTTGTATCCCATTTTTATAAAAGAAAAAGAAATGACAAGTTCCTAATCAGTTTTTTGTTGTTGTTGAAAAAAACAACTTAGACAACATAGTGTATGATAACTACCTGTTCAGCTCAATATAAAACTGAAGTCCTGAAAAGCTTTCTGAATCATGAAAGAATGATTGTGTAGATTGAAGTAATAATGAAGTCTAATTAAAATATTAATAAGACCAAACTTTATTAAAATTAGTAATCATGTATGTCACACATGATAACTATTGGTCCAAATACCTCATTATCTATCGGGGTATATAAATAGAATTTCACTATAGTTCAGTTTTTTGGAATAATTATCCCAACCTTACTCCTGCTATTTTCTTAAAATATTTTTTAATGTTTATTTATTTTTGAGAGAGAGAGAGAGAGAGAGAGAGAGAGAGAGACAGTGTGAGTGGGGAAAGGCAGAGAGAGAGGGAGACACAAAATCTGAAGCAGGCTCTAGGCTCCAAGGTGTCAACACAGAGCCTGATTCAGGGTTCAAACTCATGAACTGTGAGATCATGACCTGAGCTGAAGTTGGATGCTTAACCGACTGAGCCACCCAGGTGCCCCACTCCTGCTATTTGCTAGTATTTTAATGCTTAGACTAAATTGGATTTCTGTATCTTCCATGCTTCCTCTGTTACCTTTGCAATTGAGCTGAGACTGAATAAAGTCAACTTGATTTAAAATTACTTTGGAAAAATTTTTGAAACAGCCTCAATTTTGGTCTTGAGATTTGCTTAGATTCTTTAAGGTTCAAGGGCACTATGTGTTCAATTCATGTCTGCTTAAAGTGCTTTTTCTTTAATTCTAGACTACCTATACAGAATTTTTGCATTCTAGTAAAATATTCAGACTCATCTTTATCCTTCCCTCTTTTTTTGGGTGGGTGTTGTGTGTGTATGCATGTGTGTGTACAATGATATATAACATATACTCATATGTGTAGAATTATGTAATTAAGGAACTTATTTATAAATGAATTATACCCTCTTCTTTAGTCTTTACAATGGTATTTCAGTATATTTTATTTGTAACTCATCACCTCACTAATGATTTTATTTTATTTTATGATTGAAACGAGATTTTAAAAACTCTGTTTGGCAGTATCTTTTCCCTCCTTCCACATCTTTAGCATTCAACATGAGTGGAAGGCCAATATGGGCTTGGTTGATTGGATGAGGGTTAAATGAAGAGTAGCCATTATTTCCATTGCTTTAATTACGCCATCCTCACGCCATGATGGACCTTGCTCCATTTCCCTCCGGTAGACCTGACAGACTATAACTGACCTAATTGATACCAGATGACAGCTCGAATAAGGCCTAATAAAGAAGTAATCACACTAATCTAATGAGCAAGCTGTTATGATATTGGCTTATAGGAAGCTGTTTTTTAATCCCTCCATTTTTCTTTTATTCTGTATAACCACTACTCACAGTCTCCTTTTCAGTTACTATCGAGCCAGGACTGAAATGGACCTTATGGGGAACGTCAGCTCCAGTTCCTGTTCTTTGCTCTATTAGAAATGAATTAACATAATTTTTTCCACCTTTTAAATATATAAATGCCAAACATACTGAAAAGTTGGAAGACTAGCACAATGATCATTATACCCACCATTCACCTTCAATAACTGTAATTATTTTTTGCCATATTTGCTTTGTCTGTATATGTATATATATATGATATATGATATATTTTCTGAGTCATTTGAAAATAAGCCACATGCATTATAACATT